CTAATTAAAGAAACCTTTTCATTCAGTAAATGTAAACTTCTGGTTTAGTGTCGCTCCACAGCTGTCACGTATGTTGTCATGAAAACGTCATACGCCACACGGGTCATCCAAAGGTTAAAAGCCGTGGGGCGTCGCTATAGCTCACCTGGTTGAGCTGGCGTCCCATGTGCAGGGCTACAGTCCCAATGTGGAGGTCATGGGTTTGAATCCCGCTCATGACCCTTTCCCACATGTCCTCCCCTACTTTCCTGTCTCTTGCTCACTAACACTATCCAATAAAGGCACAAAGGCCAAAAAAATAGCTTAGAAAAGCTAAAAGCTGCTAAAAGACCATTTTAACACGCAGAGCCTTTTTTCTTTGTAGGGATGTTTTTAGGCCACAAAACTGTGATCATTGTCAACTACAAAACTCTACACTGCATAAAACCAACAGTCGCTGTGGTGCCTATTTTTAGCCCAGGCTGATGTCTCTCTACCTTCCTCTTGCCATCCTCCTCCTCCTCGTGTTTATGGGTTTTCTGTATACTGCGGTCTTTATGCTTCCTTTGGCCTTCCCATGCAGGACTGTCTGGGATCATCAGTCCAACATCCTCTTCCTTTTCCTGCTCACGCTGAATGAATTTGCCGCTAAATGACGCAAACTCTAAAGTCACCTGTTGTTCCTAAAGTTTCCGCCTTCAGGTCGTCATTGATTCGTCTTCGTTTCCATCTAATGATCACTTCAGATTCTTCTTTTTAAATGATGTGTTTGACCCACTGACCCAGGTGGTGGCATGTAACTGCATCTTTTGGCCACTTGGGGCAGCAGCAAACAACAACACTGAAATCCAATAAATAGATTGACTTTGTCCTGGCTGACAGATGCCTACTGACACACTGAGTAGATATGGGACAAGATTTGCATTTGTTCTTCATGTTTGCGTCCAATATTCTCTCCTAACTTTGGAGTTGATCGCCACCAACTCCTGAACTCTCAACACATTCGGGTTCTAAACCTGGAAAATATGGAACGAATCAACACAATTACACATTAACTCAGTCAATTTTCTCCCAAGTGTATGACAAAAAATGTACTTTTGTTTTAATTTTTACAAAAAAATCACAAAGCATACATTCCAATCTGATAAAGGCGAAAGCCACAAGCTCAATAAATTAACTTCTATTGTCTTTTTTTCATTTTTTTTTCATTAAGGCACACAACAAAACATTACAAAGAAAAGATTCAATAAAAGTCACAATCAGTGGAAAAGTTGTTCCTTAATGTGCTGATCAGGAAAGAAATCATCAATCAATGACATCACAACAATCTTCATCAACAAGAGAAAGTTTTTCAAATATTATTTATGCCGTACTGATATTCAACAAGCTGTTTTCACCTCAGTGAGAATGTATACATGTGGACCAGCTGCGTTTCACAGTTATCACATTCACCATCTATTAAAATCACGGCGGGCAGAGGGGATAGGTTTAGTAGAAATTAAACATATTTACCATTTTAGCTGTTTTAATATATCATTTATATTTTGAAACACCCCAGTCGGTGATAATCAACAGGCAACTATTGACTGATCAGAACCACCGATCAGGATGGGGTCGTATCCTCCCATGTTTGAACCATGATTGTATTATTACCGCACTGCCACCTTGTAAGTTCATTACTAATCTTCTTCTGTCTGAAAAGTAAATCACAACTCAGCAACAACAACAAAAAAATCTCCTTTGGCTTTTCCAACAAGCTCAATTGTTTCTCCTTTTATTTAGAATTTTCCTTCTGTAGACACAGAATGTGGATTTTTATTTGCAAGACGTCGCCCCTGCACGAAGACGTGAGGCTTAGTGAGGCGACACACTAGTGCGTGTGCAACGAGCTGCTCAACACGGACGAAAACCCAGAAAAGCTAAAACTTTTTTGCTGATTTGCTTTCAAATTTGCTTTTGTACATCTGTAGCTTCCCCTCACCAGAGCGGGTTCACTAAAAGAAAGACTTGTTTCTTACATTTTGAGCCGTCTGGTCCTTAATTCTATCAGTTATGATGTAGAACTTTGAAATAAATTACTGTTGCTACTGATGTGATCCTGGAAACCAACAGCAGTGACAACCAAAGTCGTAACAAACTACAGTTTTCTTTTACAAACTTTGGTTTGATGGAGCAACTGCTTCGACACACTGTTTTTAGTCGGAACATTTACTGGTGAGTAAAGCAACAGCAGGAAGAAAATTATCAGTAGATATGTGGCTGATAAGTGTGTTAAAAGATGCAAAGAGCAAAAGTTTTAACAAGAAAAAAAAAACACAGAACACAGGAAAAGCTGGAGAGACGCATCTGGAGCTGGTGGTGAAGAAACAGCCGTGACCTTCATCGAATCGAAACGATGCTGACTAAGGCTTCGTTTATTACCCATCTGCATGGTGTGCTGAGAACATACTGGGGAGGGAAGATGGGGTTGTTACCATGGTAACACTGCCTAGGGTTCGTCTGCTAACTTCACGAGCATCAAAGTAGTGAGGCTTTTATTCAGTTAGAAGGTTCTACACACAAGAATGTTCCTGACGCTCCAAAGCCAACAGTCGTGTCCACTTTACAGCCGCAGAACCGGTCCACAGAGCTCCTAAACTAAACTATGCAAGCGTTTTTGAGGAAATACCGTCTCACCGTGAGCACCCCATCTCCAGTTCTGTGACTTTCATGCTCACAACACCTCGTGTGGAAAGACTTCTCCAAGTGGTTGTCTCATTTAGCAAACTAAACTTTGCCAAAATAATTTTGTAGAAAAAAAAGAAGCTAAACTGAGCCAATTCTGGCAATATACAAGCGCCTTTCTCAACCAACACCCAAAGCCGTCTGCACCGATTAAAGTGGAAATCAGTCCTGAGAAAACAAGGTCGAGGCCGGTTCTGCCGGGTTATTTTTTTCCTTCTCGCTGTCGCCCAGCGCTCGCTCAAAGGGACTCCAGAGAAATGTGTGGATTTGTCTGCATAAATTCGGTCCTCATGTTACTGTGAGAAGCGCCACTGTGTTCATAAAACTAAATCAAGTTCTCCAGGAGCCCCAGTGGAAGACCCAGTTAGTTTGTTCGCTCCACCTAATTACAAAGACGTCTGCAACAGGTGGGAACTGCGTCAGATTTTACTTCTAAGATATGAATTTTTTACTTTGTACAGTTTAGTTTCATCAAATTGCTTGAATTTTGCCACTTTAACTGGCTGATCAATTACCCACCCAAAACACCAGCGCATGAATCAATAATGACAAACATTTAACGCCCGTCGTTTGGTTTTTAAAGTGGCGTGTTCCGTCTGCATCGTCTCCCCAGCGGATCTCTGGGCGTCGCAGCAGGTCACAGTCAGGCAGAACACAATGAATAGTTTGCCGTGGCGTAACATTCATTTCACATCTAGCACCAGCACACCCATGTTAATACTTCCCCCCCACCCACACACAGAGGTCACCCACTAGCGCGTAACGAACGCGTGCAGTGTTAAGCAGCATCCGAGATGTCACAGCAGCCATCCTCGTGTTTGGCGACCTGGTGAAGTCAGAAGGGAAGATTAGAAATGGCAGGACAAACCAGCTGCCGCTACCCGACCATCCACACCGCCTCCCAGGAGAAAAACAGAAGAAACACAGACATGCCGAGGATGAGAAGACGCAGCAGTGTGTGACAGGTCAGTAGTAAAGAACCAAAGCCGACCCACAGATTTCTTGTTAATTTAATCGAGTGATTCAATATAAAACATCATGAACGCAGGGAAAGAAAAAGAGGAGTAGCGAGAAAGAGAGATTGGCCAGAGAACCCTTCAGCCTGCAGCTTCCAGCGGATCAACAGCTCTTTTTGTAAGGACAACTGTAAACAAGTAGCCGTTAAACAAGACAACAGACGCTGTGCAACTTTTAGAACCATCCCACTACACTGAAACCTAAACGAGGCTTCCATCATTTGTTTGTTTTTTTGTTTTTTTGTCATTTTGCTTTGGTTGATCTGTGACTCTTATTTCACTTAGAAGAAGAAAGAAAAAAAAAGATTTATTCCAACCTGAGTTTCATGTTTTTGTAGCTCTGGATGGGTCACGTGACATGAAAACAGACCGTAACAGACTCATAATAATCTCAGTGACTGCGTCCCTTTTGTTTTTATTCTGAATACGTTTGGCTGAAGAACTCTTTCCTGACTATCTGCTGTTTATGAAATCGCTGTGCTTCCATAAATGACCTTTGTGTGTACGATGTACTGATAGGAGACCAGACCTACAAAAATCTGAAACTAAAGCTGTAATAAATGTCCTTCCATGTTGACTTCACTGCAATCCTGCGCTCTTTTCTATGACAGTGTTGTGATTTAGGTTTAGGACTTCTTCAGGAAGTCAGTGGTTTCAACAATTCTCTAACAGTTTCCCTGAGGTTTTACACCGAAGGGATCAATAAAGTTTTATTCTATTCTATTCCAATTAGATCTAAAAACTAACTCACAGGTGTTTTTTAGTTAAGTCATCGATCGCAGTTAGCATCAAAGCTGCTCTTATTTTTGTCATAGTTGAAGCTGCCCTGTGGAGGTAAACGAGTTTACAGTCAGTGTTTCTCAATAAAACCCACTGTGTAGATCTTTAAAGTCTCACATGTTGAATCCACTCTGTTCTTTATAACACAGTCCATTTTAATAATCTGACAGTTACATGTATGGCCAGGCTCATATCAGCCTGCAGTCTTCTTTATCCTCTGCCACAATGCTATGTTTGAGCATTGCTGTTAGATACCATAAGCGAGGATGCATTCCCTGCTCCTTTTAAAAACCTCCACAGGGCAGCTGTAAATGGTTTTATTGCAGGCTCAAAATGAAAAATTTCTAAAACAATAAGTTTAGAAAAAATAAAAGCAGAACTGATGTCGACTGTAACGGATTACCAGCGTTGAACAAGTAGCTAAAAACGGACTTTCGCCCTGCCATGAAATGAATTAAAAATGCCTTCCTTGTAAAAGAAAACTCACATTTATAAATCCTCCTCACCAAAGGAAAGTATAAATGACAGAATATAAATGCAATACTGCCCCTAAAAGAATGTTAAGACAGACCAATGTGAATACTGGTACAAAGTGGCACTGAGGTTTGCGTACGCAAACAGGAGTAAAGCAATAACCTAATCTAATAGAAAAGAACCTTTGTGCTTGTTTTCCTCCATTTAGATCAACAAAGCTTTACATTCCACGATGCACATGAAGTGTAGCTGAACTGGAGCTGGACTGACGTGATGCTATGCGCCCAATACTTCAAGGTCTCTGATCTTAAATGAAGGCTACGGTTCTACTAGTGCTTTTGGCTGAGTTCTACATTTTTTATTGCCTATAGTCTTCTAGAGGAAACAAATAAAAATCTTTCTTCAACACAAAACAAAACAAGAATGGTAGAATCATCTTCTGTGAGGGGAAAGAGAGGCGTGTAAGGCTTTTAGCCAACCCACTCTAAACTGTTACCATGTGAGAAAATAAAGTGACAGAGAAAGTGAAAGTCAAAACCGAGAGCCCATCCCACAGACAGAGCGTTGATTGATAGATAGAAAGAGAGAACATCTCTGCCACCACACACACACACCGCAGCAGATCAGATCAGTTTGCAGTTTGCAGGCGTGTCTTATTACTGCTGTTTATACCTTGCTCCTGAAGAGGGGCTTAGCACCAGGGCCACAGTACTCGTTGTATATGAGCTTGAAGAGGAAAAGGTGAAACAGCGTTATGAGAGAGGCCACGCTGAACCAGAAGAGGAAGGGCAGGCCTGGGTATCTGTTGGCCATGTGCTCCTCATGGGCCAGGATGGCCTTGAGGTGCAGGGTGTGACGGAGGTCCTGCAGGTGACGCAAGTCTGTGGAGATGTAGAGCAGTGGTGTGATGGGCTGGGTCACCATGACGGGGAAGGTGTGACCTTTGATCTCGGACGTCAGCTCCACGGGCTCATTGAGGCAGCCTGCCTCGCAGGCGTACAGCTTGACCGGCTTCTCCTGTGGCTTCACCGACACGTGAAGAAAAGGCTTCCCCTCCACATCCAGCAGGACCGCCAGGTTAATGAGGTCTTGATTGTAGTGGATCCCTCTCAGGGCGTAGCTGTTGTGCAGCACATCTGGATCAGCCTGGAACTGAAGGTGATTCTCTGTGAACTGAAGGCCGCCAAAGCTGAGCACCATGCCCTGCATGGCTCCGTGTGCCCCTGCCGCCACCAGTACCTTGCAGCCTCTCTTCTGCAAAGTCAAAGTCCACAACGTGACCAGCTGCAGGATCTGAGCAGTGCTGGTCACCCTCTCAGGCCACAGGTTCTCTGCATGCATGGTGGCGTGGCCACTAAAGCAGTGGTCGGCGTAATTGAGACTGGATTCCAGACGAGCGCGCTCCTCACCGTTGAGCCTTCGGTCCAGGAGGGGCGCCGTGGAGGAGGACAGAGTATAGTAGAGGGTGGTGTTCACTGTGCGGCTCGACGGTGTGTGTGAATCTGTGATCTTCCTCATCTCGACCCCTGGATAAACACAGAAGCAGATGCAAAGCTTCACAAAAACTGGCATGAAACATATGTATTGTATATAAGGATCGATTACTCTGACCAAGCCTATTTTCCTGACCTTAGATATTGTGTCATCTTGGGTCAAGGTCCATTTACTGGCTTTCCCAATACTTTCTACAGTGATGACTTTAACTCTGATTTCTGCTCCATCACAAACACTTTCACTGTTTTTTTTTCATTTTTGTACCTTTTTCAACTTCCACTCAAAAACCAGAACTTTGAGTGTGCGTACTTACGGTTTAACATTTACAACAAGGTTAGATTAGAATATTTAAAATCGGGACTAAAAATGTAGAGACAGATACGATGGGAGCGAAGAAGGTGTCACTCGTTCACAATTTAAACAACAAGGTAAAGTAGGAAAAGATTATGCTACCGATCCAACAGCAGCAAAAGGGTTCCACTGATGTCTAAGTTTAGAGAGGGACGAAAACCTAACTGTGCCGTGATGAATTACTGCTCGGGTAAATGTTTTAAAGGCACAATCACTAAGCCAAATGCACACAAAAAGGCAGCTGCACAAATAACACTGAAAGCACAAGACAGAAACCTGATATAAACAACACCTTTAAATACTGACAACAATCATACATAAATGATTAATGTTGTCTCGGTCACAGAGCAGTAAAAAAGTTCATATGCAAGTCAAAATGATCAATTACTGTACGTGACGTGGCTTTTAGTATAATTAAAGCTGCAAGCAGCGTTGGTCGGGTCCTCGGTCTGCGTTGCCACCTCATGCCCGCAATTTAACCCTTTAAGCCCCGAGCTATTTTTCAGGCCTTTGCTCGAAAATGACATCCCCATAATAAAAACAGTTTATCTCTGCAACCACAAGGTCTATTTGAATAATTCTTGTGTCATAATAAAAGGAACACTTTTGTTCGGATGTGTAAATTTCAGTATATATGTTACTGGTTAAAAGTAAATGGAGATGGCACACACACACATTTAAAAATTTCAGGTTCGCCTAAAAAAAAAAAAAAAAGCAGTTTCAGGATAATTATCTCTTTGGAATGATCCAGCTGCAGCTCTAAACCTCTCCAAAATCAGAGCACAATATGTGAGCATTCTCCCTGCAAAGGTTGACTCTGAAAAAGTGAAGTAGAACAAAATTACAGAGTTTTTAGTCCAGACAGTTCAGGCGAGGTGACATTTTTACTCATTTTGGCACACTGGTGACCATCTGAATGTTCTTAACTATATATTTCACTTGTATATTACTAATAGTGTTCAATACATCCAAATATAGCAGTTTTTTTTTTTTTTTTTTTTTAAATCCTACCAGACCGCTGTCTCTGAGAAGGCCTTGATGTACAAAAGCTCTGAAGGGATTTGGCGTTTCTCAACCGGTTTTCGAATGGCGAGCCATTAAATTTGATGAGCTGCCATAGCCTGGGCTCAAACTTTGCATGGCCGTCTATGGGACATGTGCAGACATGCTGTGACATTTGGTCATCTACACAAAAAACTAAAGGTCCTACAGCTTTCAAAATGACACTGAGGGCTTCCTAACAAGATTTCCCACACAAATATGCTGTTTTTACACATATTTGGTGAAAATTGTGGCTGTACGGGAGAGAGAGAAAGTGAGTAAAACTCTCAGCTCTCTCAGCCAGGGCCATGCAGAACGATGGCATCATCACAGCTCAGTGCAGCAGGTCATGTGACTCGTCATGTGACTCGTCATGTGACTCACTGACAGGCTGAGCAGAGACAGAAAAATGGCTCCTTCACCTTAAAGCAGGTTTACTTTGAAGAATGCTCAGACGGGCATGAGGTTGCAACGCGGATCGAGGACCCGACAAACGCTGCTTGCAGCTTTAATTATGTTTTCAGGTTGGGTTTTTTAAAGACAGATCTACTATTTTGGTCATTTTATTTAAGCAAGATTCTTATCAGGCTGAGGCTTTTAGCGAGCCAGCATTTTATGTTTGGCAACTTTCATCTCTTTAGTTAAAAGAAGATGTGCGATGACAATAATTTAGCGAGTCTGTCACTTTGTGGAGAAGCACATAACTACATAAGTAGTTAAGTGCTTCTCCACAAAGTTCTGCATGTGCTAGAACACATACGTCTGTCCAAGTTTAGCTCCTGTCTGAGGACATGCAAATTTCCAGATAGCAAGGAGCTGCGGCTCGTTACAGAAGCTGGTCCAATTACCCAACCAAACACCAACATCTTTACAGTCTTCCTGCAATGATTGAAAACAAACCTTGCCTCCTGGGCATGTGAGCAGCCATAAAACCACTTCAGAGCCGACAGCTGCATCTCCACAGTTATGTTGCTGCTTTTAGAATCCGTAAATCAATCCGACAGTTCTTGTGTTTTTTTGTCTTTTTCTTTTTTTTTTTACACCACTTGTTGAGCAGGCTGCAATTTTTGTTTTGGTCTAGAAACAGGGGCACAACTTTAAAAAATAAGTTAAAATCAAGTTCATCAGTCAGGATATTAAATGTCTTTTTACACTGATGTTTAGAATATTCCTTTGAGGTTCCCCACCAGGGTGTAAAATGCATTTTTTTTTAGCAAGTCTAGAATTTTAATACTTATTATGACTTTCAAATTTGTGACTGAATCCGTACATCTGAGGGAGCTGATATGTTTTAGCCAAATGAATGTTCTTTGACACATTTCAAGCAGCCATTGCGTTCCGTTAATTTCACGGTATCTCTTAATTAACTCAAAACTAGCTTGAATAATTGCTGTCCGCTCCAATTGCTGTCATAATAACCGTCATAGCTGCATTGCTGTTGAATTCAGTTATATGTATGTGTTTCTGGAACTGCTATAGTACTTTACTAGTGTCTTGTTTAGTTTCCACACCCCAGCTGCAGCATTCAGATTCATTTATTGTATCTTGTCTTTTATTACTCTTGTGGGATGTTATTAGGTGTTGTTACTCGACTCCAAGAGAACCCTGCATAACAACTCCAGTGTGCCTAGACTGTGTGTTTGTGCACAAATGGCAAATAAAACCCTTGAATCCTATCGTGTATTGGATTTGCAGTGAATCGAATAAATCCTGTTTTAACACTAGCATAGTGCCAGCTACTGCTCCGGCCTCAGCTCACCTGAAATGAAGAGGTCCATCCAGGCCTGCTGGTGATCTACAACCAGATCATCCACGCTGACCCTCAGCAGCTCCCCCAGCTCCTTTTTGGCTCCATCTCTGAGGCTGCTGAAGGTTTCCTCGAGCTTCAAGGACTCGATGGGCTCTGAAGTCCACACAACTGACAGGATGTTGTCCGTGTACTCTGACTTAGGAGGCACCTGAATCCTGCTGTTCAGTTTTTTGGTGACCACCACCACCAGTACCATCCGGTTGTTCTCCACCGGCACCCTGCCAGAGGACAGCAGTATGTCCCTGTCCTCCAGTTTCTCCACACTGGTGGAGAACTTGCTACCAAAGGAGGGACTTCCAGAGGACACGTCCAAGGCTGCGGCCCTGTCTGACGGGTTACTGATGTGGATTCGCTGCAGGTAAACGTTGGGTCTGCTTCTGTGCGCGATGAACTCCTCTCTGATGGTGACACAGTCCCGGGCGGACTGCAGAGACGCCGGCGAGGCGCAGCGGACCGACAGCACGGCTCCCTTCCGGAACCACAGCATGCTGGCCTGAGCCTCGGCCCGCCTCCCCTCGAGCTGGACGCCGACCCTCGGCGAGTATTCAGTCTGGTGCACAGGAGCCGAGCCGGGCTGCGAAGACGACGCTACCCACAGCTTGTTGGAGTCGACATCGATCAGAATGTGTCCGTTTCCTGATACGAAAGGCGAGTCCAGCTGCTCCTGAGGCGTCCTGTAAATCCCCTCTCCTCTCTCCACCAGAGATTTCCACCTGTGGATTTCGGCCAGTAGACACTGTCCGGCCGCCCCGTCGGGGACCGCCGAGCCCCTGAAGAACCTCCATCTGCGTTCTGCTCCCAGGTACCAGTAGAAGATGAGGAAGAGCAGCACTCCTATGAGCAGTCTTCTCGCCCAGCTGCTCGACAACAAGCCCGGCAGCCCCTTCAGTCTCTGCTGCAGCCACATTGTTCGGTCAAACGGCGGAAGCCCGGCTCTGAGTCTGCTTCTTAGGACGGCACCCAATGTGCTTGGGCTGGAAATGTTTAAGTGTCACATCGAATTTATCTGGAACTCTCCCCAGGATGAAAACTGACAAACTGGATTCGCTGGCTCGGTGAGCTTAGCTACGTAGCTAGTGCTGTGAGCGAAAGCTGTCGAAAATGCGCCGCCGTTTTTCGCATCGTGGTTACAGAAATATTCCTCCGCAGTTCTGTGGGACAGCCGTCAAGTTCCAGTTTATTCGCTTTGTTGTTTTCCCTTCACTTCAAAAGAGAAATACCTGTCTTCGCAGACAACTCCGCCGACAACGGTGGTCACTTCTGGTTTGTCACAAGTGTCGTAAAGCGAAACGGCAAAAGCAACGACCGGAAATGTCGCAAAGAGTCGTGAGGTACTCCTCAGCAGGAAGAGGAGCTAAACGTGCAGCAGTCTGTGGAGGAACGCACAGAAACAAACAGTTTTATTATAATGTTCCCAGAATGTATGAGTTTGTACACAGCCTGCAATAGTTTTAAATGCTGTACAGGCAATCTGCCATCACTGTTTATGGTTTAATCTCCATTTTACATCAATTCTAAAGTAAATCAGCCTCAGATCAGGATGGCACTGTTCATCAATCAGGAGACCAAACCTGGGCCTCTCAAACTACATAAATAGAGAGGAAACCACTGTTAAATAGTCAAGCACTATAGAAAGAAATGGAGACATTCTGAAACATCTGTACAGATGTTATTTTAACAATCCTCACATTCCTTAGCAGAAACTGGGGCGTCACTAACTATTTATAGAACTGAGTCAGTCCAGTGTTAATATATACTAGAACTGCTTATTGTGTGCAGTTTGTGATGTGTGATCTGAATATATTCAGCCTCTCTGGCTGATAAACATCACCATCAACTGCACGTGTAGAATAAACCTTTAAAAATCAAACACAATTCAAGTCTTTGCAAATCAACTAAAAGTGAAACGTTTTTATCAAATGTCATATTATTGGGTCTACATTTAAAACAATCTGCAGTTAGATCAGTTGAGCACCAGACATTTCCCATCATGCCTTGAGCATCCGCTTTATGGGGTCTGTTCTCCTAAAACCGATCTCATGATGTTATTGTTGCCTAAGTTTGCTCAGAGGAAGTCGGGACCAAGCCGGACAGATTCCAAACCAAGGGTAGTAGAGATACGTGACATTAGTTTGAAACTGGTAAAGACTCAAGGCTGCCCTGCATAGATCGATGGCAGGAACCACATTTAAAAAAACAAAACAACCTTTAACAGAACCAGGGTCAGGGAAGGCAGCCATCTGCCTCGACCGGTTGGGGTGAGAGAGGGGATGAAGCGGGATGGGGATAGCAGATAGAGACAAACAATGTATGAGAGAGCAATGAGCATTTTTGAGATTGTTTTTTTTATTAAAGAAGGAACTTTTTAAGTGTAGTCTTAAAAGAGGGTGTCTGCCTCTTGAACCCAAACTCATTCTACTTCTGGAAACTCTGGTAACCAAAAGTAAACCTGCAGTCTGAGAGTGAAGGACTCTGTTAGGATGATATGGTGCAATAAGGTCTGTAAGATACGATGGAGCTGCTCATTACGAGTTTTACAATGTGAGAAGCAGGATTTTAAGTCACATCCTGGATTTTACAGGGAGCCAATGAAGAGAAGCTAATATAGTGGTTCCTGTCAGAACTGTGGCTGCAGCATTTAGAGGTTTTTAAGACAAGTATTGGAACGTTATGACAATAAGGAATAACACGGATGCATCTCATTCTCTTGAGCATCACCAGAAGCGTTCTTCCCCTGCACTATCTCAGCCCCAGCAGCTTGTAGTGACACTTCATCTGCTTCGGTTTGTTAATCCTAGTCAGGCTGTGAAAGCTGCTCTGTGTTCTCCGGGGAAGCTTCGTCTAGTCTGAGAAAACGATGACGTCGTCTCAGTTTGGGTCGAGGCAGCAAATTCTTCACAGTTCAACGACAGGAAGCCAGGTGGGAAATAACTCAGAGGTTCTGTGACAAAACCAGGCGGTGTGATGGTACTGTCGGTGTGTCTTTGGCCTGCTCAGGCAACACCAATAAAATGTGAAAACTGTATTAACATCAGTGAAGCCAAATGACCCCCACTGCTTGACCAGATGTCATTTAACAGTTGTGGGGTGTATACATTTCTAAGGTGTTCAGAAGAAGACAGTATGGAATTGTAGGGACTCCAGGCTACGTGCAAGGGCTCATGTCCACAGAACAGCTGGGTTACGTATTGGAACAGCTTTTTTTTTTTCCACAACCATGTTGGAAGTGGGCGTTTTGGATGCAGTTTGAAGACAGAAGGCTTCTGTGTTCCTAAAAGTGGAAATGATAGAGTCGTTCCAGAGGAGCACTGATTTATTCTAATGCTGTCGGTGGAGGGCATGTGAAAAGAGAGAGAGAGAGAGACAGACGGACAGACAGACAGGCAGACAGAACAGCCGCTGCCTGCAGAGTCAACACAACGCTGCGAAGTTCCTGCTCTCGGACGGAACCATCTGGAAAAGTCGGTCCACACCGGTGCTCCAGTGAAGATTGTTTTTAAGTCTAACTTTGGCAAAAATGACTCGTTCCTCTTTGCTGCTGCTGCTCTCGGGGATTTTAATTTGTACACTTTTTGTCGCGTCTCACTGTGAAGAGCAGCGGATCTCCGGAGGTAAGTCTGGAAAAGCCGCCGCACGCTGCGTTCAATCCAAAGTTTTTACGCGTTCCTCTCGACGTTAGCGGGTTTGGTGAATGCAGCCCAGCTAAAGGGAGACTCCCCGGCTCTGGCTCTTCCAGGCTAAATACAACTCTGCTGCATACCTCAAAAAAAAATGTCCTGCGTTTGAGCAACCCAACTGGGTGCGAATCATTATGGGGGAAATCTGAGAAGTTTGAGTGAGAAACGTTGACACCCAACAGTAGCTCCTCTAAAGACAAAGCCACTCCGAACTAACTGCCTCATGTTGGAGCTTTTTATGTGGCTTTTTTAAAAATATATATATAAATAAAATGGAACAAATGGGGATGGACGGGTTGGGAGCGCACGGCTCTGGAGGACTGGAGCCGCTGACGTGGACGGATCGTCAGGTAGAGGAGAGCCAGCATGATCAACCACAGCTCAGTAAATTGTTGTATTTAGCGCCGTCTTCCTCTGGGATTATCCAGAAAAGTAAACCCAGCGGCTTGGAAGAGGCTAGAATAATAAATGTAATGTCAGTGAGTTGTAGTTTAACCCACATGGCTGATGTGATACTAAACTTTCCATCTATGAATCAGTGACAAATCTGATGTTGTTGTTTTAGAATCCATGGGGATAAAAAAAAACCCAAGAAAGACAGTCATGTGAAATATATACACATACTATATTGAAAACCACATTAGAAACAGACTGAGATCATTAATTAGTAATTAATGCTGGAGTCATATACAAAAACATGTATGAAAGCAATGACATGTTATTTTATCAGTAAGTCTGTAAACTTCAAATCCCAGCAGCCTGGTGCACTACATTTAGTAATATAACTTATCAACCTGTGTTTATTTAAAAGAAAATCCTTTCTAATGTAATGAAAGTAGTTTCATATTTAGCATTTATTCCTTCTTATTAGACTTCATGCATTATGACATCTCTTCTTGTAGAATTGCTGCAGAATATTATATTTATAGAATTAAATCAGAACCGTGGCCTCACAGCTAGAAGATCCCCGGTTCGTGTCCCGGTTTGGGGACTTTCTGTGTGGAGTCTCCATGTTCTCCCCGTGCAGCGTGGGTTCTCTCTGGGTTCTCTGGCTTCCTCCCACACAGTCCAGAAACATGCTGAGGTTAATTGGTGATTCTGAATTGTCTGTAGGTGTTAATGTGTGCTTGTCTGTCTCTAAGTGTAGCCCTGTGATAGACTGGTGACCTGTCCAGGGTGTCCCCTGCCTTCACCCTGAGTCAGCTGGGATAGACTCCAGCCTCCTGTGATCCTAGTGAGGATTAATCGGTGTATAGATGATGAACAGATAAACTCCATGTTTAAATGTATTTCCATTTTTGTAGCGCCAGTACACCACACATGTCATCTCTAGGCACCTCACATACTAAGGTGAAGCGAAGGCCATACAAAATTGCACAGAGAAACCCAACAAATCCCAAATTTCCTTTGGATTCTCTCGAGGAAGCACCTGGCAAAAGAAAAAAAAAAAAACTTCCCCTCCTTCACTGGAAAGGAAAAACAAGTCAGGCTCAAGAAGGATGGCCGTCTGTATCAGATGCTTGGAGTGTGAGTGAGAAAGAGAGAGAGAGAAGCAGGATAGCAGATGCAGAACAGACAAACAATGCACACGAGAACAGTAAACACTTTGGAGGCCGCTGAGGCCAGTGACTGTAGATCAGAGACGTGAAGCTCCAGACACAAAGTCAGTGACGTGCAATGGTTGCGTACGATTACATGGAGAGAGAAGGAGATGTTCTCAGTGCATCATGATAAGTTTCCCAGCTGTCTAGAAATATAGCAGCATAACTATGGCAGATGATCCTGAGAGGGTGTCTGCCTCCTGAACCCAACCTGGGAGCTGAGTCCACAACAGAGGAGCCTCATTCTACTTCTGGAAACTCTGGGAACCACAAGTAGACCTGCAGTCTGAGAGCGAAGGGCTCTGTTAGGATGATATGGTGCAATTAACATAAGATGGTGCTTAGTCATTAGGAGCATTGTGTGTGAGAAAAAGAATTTCAAATTTTATTCTGGATTTTCCAAAACACCAACAAAGTGAAGCTAGTATGGGAGACGTATGACCTCTCTCTCTGGCTGCAGCATTTTGGATCAGTTTTGCAGATAGTTTTGGGATATCCTGACGATGAGGAATTAAATTAGTCTCGCCTAGAAGTGGCACGTGCATCGGATTGTTTTTCAGCGTCCCTTTGAGACAGGATGTTCCTAATTTTGATAATATTGCGCTTCATGTGTGAGTTACACAACAAATAATGAGAGTGGAGCGATGACGAGGAGCAAGAGAAACGCCACAATGTCTTCGTTTTAAAGCGAGGACGCTGTGACCTGCAGCTAGCGCGCTCATGTTTAAAATGAATGACGTCAACGTGTCATTTGAATGTTATCTGCAAGGCTAAGTGACGATTCAGCAGGTTTTAACTTTGCCTTTTGGAGTTTGACGAATGAACATTTGTGCACCTGTAATGTACATCACGACAATGTCTCAGAGGTGAACCCTGAGTTGTTAGCTGTCCTTGTAGCCTTGTTTTACTGAGGGCCCGTCTTAAAATCCACTTTTAGATTGAAGGAATAATGCATGATAGTAGATACACGAACTTTCGCCATGCTTGTGATTTGATGAGCTGAAGCTGATGCTTTGCAGTTTCATGTCTGCTTAACTTGCTACCAGCCTCCTATTGTGCACAGTCAGACTTAAGGCAAAAGACAAAATGGAATTATATCATTATATTCTTACTGAGTTGTGTCTATGACGTTGTGTCTTGCAGACAAACTTCTAGTTGTGACCGTTGCAACCAAAGACACCGATGGCTTCAGGCGTTTCTCGAGGTCGGCTAAACACTTCAACTACACAGTCAAGGTACAGACCGTCTTTTCCTGCCGTTTACAAAAGAGTATTTGACATCTTTAAATCTGTTCCTTCAGACTTTGGTAAATGATTCGACATCGATGTGCTTTAAGGTTCTCGGTCGAGGTCAGAAATGGAACGGAGGCGACTACATGTCGGCGCCGGGCGGAGGCCAGAAAGTGCGGCTCCTTAAAGCAGCCCTGGAGAAGATGAAGAAAGTCGACCAGATCATCCTTTTTATTGACAGGTAGGGTGTCTTCACAGCAGGAAGTTTTTAATTTCCTAACAGTTTGCTGCATATGTCAGATGTTTTTAGGTATTTGTGGCAATTTTGGTTGAAAACTTTTTCCTGTCTTTCCTTTAACTTTGGATTTCATTTTATTTCGTCTGAACTTTTCATCTTGTGCTGCTGCCAGTGGTGATGTTTTACGTTGGTACACAAGTCAGTCCCAGTATGCTTGATACCACGCAGCAGTGCAATCATTTTAATGTACTATTTAGCTCATTAATTAACATGTTGTATCTCAGTTGTTTAATCCGAACACAAAGAGGGAAGTAAAAATGACTATATTTAGTTTTAAGAGGGTTTGTGTGCTATAGGCTATGATATGTGAGAATATAAACACTTTGTCGTAAAAGCATGAACCGTAGCACACGAGTTTGACCCTCGCCTCAAGTCTGGCACACATCAGGTACCGTATGACTGTTAGAACTGTGCATGTTATGACTTGTCAGATACATTCATTGAATGACAACCTCACTGAGACTTCACAGATTGTTAAACCACAAAGTGTTATTTTTACACATTCATTTAGCTTAATTACTCAACTTCAGAGATGTTGGCAGGTGTATTAAAGTTTAATTGTTCAACACACACTACTTCCTTAGACGAGTCAAATTTGATCAAACTGTCAAAACTATAACAATAAGAACTGCGTATGTGTAATTCATTAGATGTCTATTTACAACAGAGCTATCTATTTGATGTGACCTGTAAGTAGCACAAGGTCAGTCAGAGATGCTCTCAGTCATTAAATTTCTCAGTGTCGGAGTGGCTCAGTTTAGTCAGTTCAGTTTAAGGAAGGAGAATTCTTCCATAACTTAAAACCTCTACTTTACATTTCATACAAAAGCAACAAAAATGTCCCCAAAATGGTTTAAACTACTTATTTATGCAGCCTTAAAAGTGGAGTTCTTATGATAAAACATATACATAGACTGAACTCAAGAGAGTGTGGTGTTTTGTTTTTTTCTGTTTTTTTCTTGGCCAGTAAACACAACCACAGGCAACTTTGCTCCCCAAATAAACAGCGCTGGCGTCTTATAAAAGGAAACCCTCGTCATTTATTTTAACCATGTCACTGGCTTCACACACTGCTAAGCGCCCGGTGCACTAAAGTTCTTCTATTTTTCCTCCATTTCACGCAGCTATGATGTGGTTTTTGCTTCGGGTCCCAAAGAGCTGCTGAAGAAGTTCCAGCAGGCCAAACACAGGGTGGTGTTTTCCTCCGAGAGCCTGATCTGGCCTGACCGCCATCTGGAGGACAAACACCCTCACGTCAGGGAGGGCAACAGGTTCCTGGGCTCTGGCGGTACGTTCGTCAGTCCTGTCGGGCCACGTTTTTCTGCTGTAATGGCTGTTTTTTCCTGTCCGATCAGGAGGTGTGATGTGCTGAGCTGTTGTTCCATTTTGTTCAATTTGTGATTAAAAACAGAGCAGTTCTTAAAGGTTGCATCTGGGCTACATTAGCGGCACACCTTAGCAAAGCTCCTAAGCCTTGGGGTTGAACTGTACTCAGTGGTTTTACGCTGGCAAGAGTGTAAAAGAAGCAAAGAACACTTTTTCCTGCACAAACCACAGTTATCAATATGCAATGACATGCACCAAAGGGTTCATTTTACTGTACATCTAAACACATTAAAATCTGCTTTACTAATGTTTAATGAGGAAGAAAATGATTTAATAAACCCCAGTTTCATATAAACACCCAGTAAATATTCAAACTTAGAAACGTGAAAAGTTGTAATTCCTAAGCTGTGCTATTAAGAATTTCTTTAAAGTTAACAGATAATTAACTGAAATTGCAGCCAGTGTTGTCCACATCAAAGCTACTTCATGCCCACATTTTCAGATAAAAACAGTGGATTTTTATCTCTTCGCCTACTTTTTTTTTTTTTTTTTGCATCTTTCCTCAAGGGACAAATTATGATATAGTAAACCTGACAGTCTGATTGTTTACACCCTCATGCTACTGCCTTGAGATACTGCCATGCACATTCCTTAACACTGTAAGCTCCCGAGCTGCTGATGTGGCTGCAGACGTGACTTTTTATAGCAGGAAAACAGCAGGTCTGTAGTTATAGCCGGACTGACGCTGCAGAAACAGAACCTGGCAGTACTAATTAGCCATGGCAATTGGAAACTGAAGACTTTTATTTCGTCCTCAGTGTGTTTTAAATGTGAACAAACATCATATAACGTGGAAGTGTCACGCGTTCTTACTTCCTGTCTGGTTCCTCTGTGTGGGCATCAGGCTTCATCGGCTACCTTCCCAACGTTAAAGAAATGGTCGCCAACTGGACAGGAAAAGACAACGAGAGCGACCAGCTGTTCTTCACCAACATCTACATCGATCCAGCAAAGAGAGTAAGATTGCTGCTCTGCTGACTGTTTGGATCTATCTATGATTGATTGCATGCCAAAGTCACATTAAGTACTTTTAACACATGTACTACGAATACTAAGTAATGGCAAGTGATTCCTGTGGTTAAATATTAAGTTAATGAATAGCCGTTGTTCCTAGTAGACTTTAAATTTGTGCAGGGAGTTTAATTGATGATAATTTAATTGCAAACAAAAACCCAGTAGAGTAGAAGTGACTCAGATGAATTGATAAATGAATAAAAACAGCACAGACTCAGTTGCATGCTTCAGGATGTAATATATGGTGTGTTTCAGAAATCCATAAACATCACCCTGGACAGCAAGTGCAGATTGTTCCAGAACCTACACGGAGCCCTGGGTGAGTGCTGCAGACGTTTTGAGAACATGTCAACCACTGAAGCGTTCTGTAGGTTTCCCGGCTGCTCGTCTCGCTTTCCTTCTGTCGTGAACAACGGTCCGGCTGCACCTCGTTCTGCTAGAGAGGGGGAAAAAAAGCACAAAAGCTCGCTTGTAATTCTTTAAACCAATCCCAGTTGTTGTGGTTGGCGCTAAGGTGTCATTATTTTGGGGGAACATTGGCACACCTGGAGGCTTACTCTGTGATTAAGATAAAAAAAAAAGAAGAACAGCCTTACAGCATGACATTGTCAGTGTGGTAGGCTGCTGCCTGGACGTGGTTGTGAAGAGGATTTGGAAAACAATAAAACACAGGAGCTAAAGGAGAAAGCCGGCAGCAGCTTTACGCCCGCAGCATCTACACACGGCTGTGCTGCGATTAAAGAAATGTAAAGCGCACTTTTCCACACACACCTTTAAGAATCCAACAGAAGGCAACTCCTGTTTCTCAGTCACTAGGAATAGTGTAATTGCAAAACACAACATTCATTTACTGTAGCCGCAAAGATGTAAAAATGATTAACGAGCTTTTACTAGCGTGCACCGCGTGCTTTGGATTTCTCTCCGTTTATTTACGCAAATGTTTGACTTGAGGTGAAAGCATCTCACAGGGAAGCAGAGAAACAGTTGCTGATATAAACGACACACAGGTTATGGTGAGTTTTTCTTGGAATTTTGCTCAAAGCAGCCTGATTTTTAGTGGAACTCAACAGACAGACCTCACGAGTTCAGAGAGCTTTGTTGTTTAACTGGTCATGCTGCTGACACTATACACCATGCGTAGTGTGTGTAAACTACGCAGCTACGTGGTAGAATAAAGCAGGAATATGTCGTTTCTAATCTATCTATCCTGTGGGTACATAATCCTAAAATCTTTCCCTCAACAGTGTATATGTTGTGTGAGTGCTTATGTAATAACGTTGCTCTTGCAGAAACTTGTTGCCTCTCCTCTGGCTGCTCACTGGGTTCCTTTTTTTTCCGCCTCATTTATACAAATCACTCGACATATATATACTGCTCAGGTGTCGTCACTTGAAGTAAAGTCGAATCTAAACGTTTAGGGAACTGAGGGGTTTATAGCTGCAGCAGAAAAGGCGGGTCTGCACGTTTAGACATGAGCTGAAATCTCGGCGGTGTGTGCAGCGTTTTTTTTTTTTTTTTTGTCTCCCCCCCTCCTCTCTGAGGCCGGGGAAGGAATTTGTGAGAGGGCTGTGTAAAAGCTCACACAGACAACATAAAGAATCCAGGGGCATGAATGCACTTTCTGACAACTGCCTGCACTCACAAATCCTCCCTCTGGAAGCTCCTCTGTCAGCCGCTGTCCTTTTAAAGAGACAGTAGCACCGATGATACGGAAGGATTTGTGATTAAAGAAGCAAAATAGTAAGAATTTAAAAAGTCACGACGCATTTGTAAACATCACCGAATCCATCATCGTCTGCTCCATCCTGGCTGACAGGACCTGTTGTCGATTCCCATTTATTCAGAAACAACAGCAAGAATGGTTGAAATATGATAAAGCTAAACATGTGAGTGTGTGTTTTTCAGATGAGGTCGTGCTGAAGTTTGAGGACAGTCGAGTGCGAGCCAGAAACGTGCTGTACGACACCCTGCCCGTCATCATCCACGGGAACGGACCGACGAAGGTACTGACCTCTCTGACCTTACTGACACACTTCCAGTCCTTCAGTCGGCCAGACTGTTTGCAATACGGAGTCTGAAACCAACATAATGTGTGTTTTAAAATTTAAAAAAATGTCTGAAAAGGCATTCTCAAGTCGCGGGAATCAGTCACTTCTTACACTGAGGACGATTCATTCACAGCTTCTATGGTGTGCAGTGCAGCTATCTCTGTTCTGCTCATTCCTGGACTCACACCGGTCCTCCTGAAGTCAAATTACACATTTCTAAGGCGTCCTTTTGCTGAAGTCATGGTCTTTCATTAGGAAAAACTCATTAATCAACAAGGAGATATTTTTGCATCACAGCTTGACTGTGCTTGTGTTCATAGTCGACGAATTTCTTCATGTATAACCAGTGAAATTAGTTCATTTTAAATTGTATTGTACGTTTAATGTCACTGTTTTATTATTATTATCAGCAGACAGTCGCTCTAATTGGCCTGCGACATAAAACCAACCACAGACTGTAAACCTAAGTTTTGCTCAATAGGCGACAAAACAGGTTTGATTGGCACCAATCAGCTGTCAATCAAACATGTGCTCCGTCCCACCCAGAGGGCCGGAGGCTAAATGAGCATTTTTGTTGCTGTTGCATCACAACAAATGTCCAGAGGGCTACACGAGGAAGCGAGATAAGTGTGTTAGCAAGGTATGTTGAGTTTTCAGTGTCATGAAGGTGGCTGGCTTTTTACCTGCTAGGTCTCCACGGTAACTGATGCTGTGGAGCTAGATCTCCATGGTAACTGATGCTGTGGAGCTAGGTCTCCATGGTAACTGATGCTGTGGAGCTAGGTCTCCATGGTAACTGATGCTGTGGAGCTAGATCTCCATGGTAACTGATGCTGTGGAGCTAACCTGGTCAGGAGCAGGTTATGTTCAGAGTTTAGGATTTAAATCGGCTGGAAAGAGCGTCTCCTTTTAACCAGATCGTTTCCTGACTGTTACTTAGGAGCGCTACAGATTCTCAGCTGAGGGAATGTATTTTATCTGCTAACATGCTGAGTTGTACGTTACTAATATCACTGAATGAAGCCGCGTAGTTACAGCATCACACACTGTATATATTGTGTTGCCATGGGAACTAGACTTGTATTTAGCTGGCGATGCAGAAATGATGTTGTCATGTTTGGTCCATTTACTCTGCTGGTACTGCAGCTGATAGAAAACTGATTATAGAGAATATTCAATCAATGACATTAATTCCACTTTGATTTGACCAAAAATTTAGCTGATATCCTGCATTATGGGACAGTGTCAGACCTGAATGCACTTCAATACAAGATCAGCTTTGGATATATTAAGTTTGAAGTTTAACAGCTTTAGTCTGCAGCTGTCAGTTAGAAATAAGCAGCTGCATCAGTAAAATATTATATATAAACACGTTTAACAGTTTTCTACCAGCATTCTGTCTTGCACCATTTGCAATAGCGGTGCTTTTTACCGTCATCATTATCTATATTCCTCATTGATCTCCATTAAAACAACGTGTTGACTGAAGCAGCTGCACACAATCGTTTCATTTAGTGCAGAAGAAGAGTCCACGAGTCCTTTTATGTCCTTTTATGTGAACAGAGTCTGAAGCAGAAAGTCTGAGTTAACAAAGAAAGTTGAAAACCACCTTCGTGATACCCGTGATCTTTGGCTCGGGCTTTAGTTTTTGTGGAGCCAACTTACACAAAGACAGCCTGGCTATGTCAAACTTACTTTGTAGTTCAGCCATCAGGCAGTCAGCTGTTCTAAATCTGTTTTTCTTGCCTTTATGTGCTGGATATTAAATTGAGACATGATGAGCTACAACGTATTTGTTAAGGTTCAGTGTGATAGGGATCCAAAAAAGCAACAGAGGGTTAGGGTGATAGAAAAGAGGGATTTATTCAGGCTGCAGGGGAAATGGGGGACACCGGGAAGCACGTGAAGGAAGCCGAGTGAGGGAGTCAAATCCAGGAGAGGTTCCAAGTGGGGCAGGGAGGCAGAGCAGCTGAGGCTTTAGCTCGGCTGCAGAAGTTGGGCCGGGGAATGTGTCGATCCGACGGGAGGTTCACTCGAGGGAGGATAATCCACTGGCGCTGGAGCACAGGTGGAGGCAGGCTTTATCCAGCGCTGATGAGCCTGAGGTGTGGAAGAGAGTGAGTGAGAGCTCTCCCGACCGAAAACCCCACCCAGCCTGAAAAACACTCGCAGCCACCAACACAACAAGCTCATACACTAAACAAGGATTCACAATAAATACACAAAAACTGGGCTCACCACAGTATTTGTTTTACAGCTCCAGATCAACTACCTGGGTAACTACATCCCCAGCGCGTGGACATTTGAGAAAGGATGCACAGTGTGCCACCAGGATCTATATCCACTCACAGCTCTTAAGGTCTGTTCTTGTCTCCTGATGGGGAAACTGTGCAACTACATTGAATCATTTAGTGGCTGTTTTTCTAGAAAAAAAACCCCAACAATTTATGTGATCGTTTTGTTTTTTTCCCCAATAGGAAAGTGAATACCCTCTGGTGTTGATCGGTGTCTTCATCGAGCAACCCACGCCGTTTGTCACGGTGTTCTTCGAACGGCTGCTGAAGCTGCAGTACCCCAAGGACAGGCTAAAACTGTTCATTTACAACCAGGTACATTTGTTACTTCATTGTGCTGAGATATCTTTTTGATTTATGCACCTGATCTGGAATTAACAAGACCCCGTTATATACTTTACAGGGCCCCAATATAGACAGTGGAAACCAGAAGTTTACACACACTGAATAAAAAGACACATAACCTTTTTTTCTCACTATTTGACATTAAATCAGACTAAACTATTCCTGTTTTAGGTCAATTAGGATTAACAACATTATTTATATTTGCTAAATGCCAGAATAATGAGAGAGAATGTTTTATTACTTTCCACAAAGTCAGAAGTTTCCATCCATCTCTTTAGTATTTGGTAGCGTTGCCTTTAAACTGTATGACTTGGGTCAAACGTTCTGGGTTTCCTTCCACAAGCTTCTCACAATAGTTTGATGAATTCTGGCCCATTCGTCCTGACAGAACTGGTGGAACATGAGTTCTCTTCCTGATATCTTGGCTGATTTATTTAGATTTTCCCTGTTGTCACTAATGAAGCAGTGTGTTTGAGATGTGCCTTAAAATACATCCACAGGCGTGCCTCCAATTAACTCAAATGTTGTCAATTAACCAATCGAAAGCTTCCAAAGCCATGACATCATCACCTGAGCAAACACAGGTGGATCATAAAAGTGGTTGTGTTAAATATAGTCCTTGGGTAACGGTCTAATGTCTATAAAGACGTCATTTTCTGTCGACTTTATCAATGAAGACGAAATAAAACGATGTGTCAGAGGTAAAGCTCTCAGAGTTTTCACGACTGCTCTGCACTTTATTTGTTCTTTTCTTGTCTTTTCCCTTCAGGAAGCGCATCACAAAAGCCAGGTCAGCTCTTTCCTGCAGGATCACGGAAGCCTTTATCAGGACGTCAAACACATGGGCCCCGAAGAGGACATGGATGCAGCGGCGGCCCGCAACCTGGCCTTGTGAGTTCCACGTAACCGCTGGGTGCCTTTATGTCGCATCTGTCTGGTCTTTATTGGAAGTTCTGTACAAGAAACAAGCAGCATGTAGTCGTAGAAGACGTGGTCTGTACAGGGCTGACCCACTCTTTTTCTTGTTGCCTTACTTGGACGTTCGTAACACGAAGCTTTTCAGGCTGTTGTAGTTACGATAGTGACAGTAATCTAAGGAACAGTTTCAGTTGTAGCATCAAAGCATGGCACTGGCATACTTCAGTACAGGTACACGTCTTGGGCTCCAAACTGTACTTCCGTAGAGTCCAGTTGTATTGTTTTAATACTTTACATACAAGTAGCTTGTTCAGCCGACTGACGACCAGCTGAGGGGTCAGATCTGTCTCAGGGGTCACAAAATACATACACGAGATTAATAATGGGAGTTGAGATGAGAGTTTTCACTGAACTGGATCTGTTTTTGACATTAGACAACTATTTGGACCCCAGAGAGCAATAAAAATTAAACTGTGTGAGAAAAATAGAAAGTAAATATTTTACTGTGAAAACACGTGTTGCTCATAGACAGAGATACAACAAGACGCTGTTTTCTTACGAGGAAATGTAAATGCTAATGCTTAAGTGTCTCTCCTTCCTTTCAGCGATAAATGCCGGAACGACAAGGACTGCGACTATTTCTTCAGCGTGGACATTGCGGTGGTTCTACAGAACGAGAACACGCTCAAAATTCTAATCGAACAAAACCTGTAAGTGAATTTATTGAGTTACCATCGCGAATCTTGTCCATGCTGACGTCTTGTAGTCGGCACAGCCACGTTCAGTAAATGTCTTTTCTAACAGTTTGAATATGAAGATGAAGAAATATGTCGACTAACACTTCTTGACTTGTTCCTCAGACCCATTGTGGCGCCGATGATAACTCGAGCTGGCCGACTGTGGAGCAACTTTTGGGGAGCGCTCAGCGCTGACGGCTACTACGCTCGGTCTGAGGACTACGTGGACATAGTTCAAGGACAGAGAATGTAAGTTGCTTTCTAAGAGGTGTTTAGCTACAGTCCATTAAACTCTCACCCGCCATCGTTCTAACCTCCAGCCCCACCCGACCGCCTTCAGGATAAAACAGATGTAGCTGATGGATAGATGTGGACTAAATTTTCCAGCTTATGCTAAATTCTCAAATAGGATCCTGCAAAAATTCTAGTTTTCCGTCCAGTGTTGGCTAAAAGGATTGAGAGGGATGAAATTACACATCAGTAGATTCAGAATCTATAATACAATGGCAAAGTCGTGCAACTACTTGGCCGCTTCTACTCGTGTTGAGTAAGTTTCCAGATGAAAGTGATCGTGTGGAAACGCACATTAAACTGAATTATCAAGGCAACAGGTAGACAGAGGCAAAGTGTAAAATTGTCCTATAAATCAAATGACAACAGAAGCAGATCAGAAAACAGGGTGTTTTTTTGTTTGTTTGTTGTTGTTTTTACCAAATTCCAGATGATTGTGTTTTCTAATAAAAAGGAGACATTAGAAATCAAGTTTCCTCTCTACTGTAGGTCTTTCTCCCTGTGGCGATTGGAGAATTTGCAGTATTTTTTGTTTTTATTTCTCCCCTGACGTTAGATCCTTGTGGTAATATGTATAGTTGAAACCAGAAGTTTACATCCACTGTATAAAAAGACATAAAACTTCTTTTTCTCACCGTCTGACATTAAATCAGACTAAACTCTTCCTGTTTCAGATCAGTCAGGATTACCAAAATTATTTCTATTTGCTAATCGCCAGAATAATGAGAGAGAGAATTTTTTATTCCTTTCCACAAAGTCAGAAGTTTCCATCCATCTCCTCAGTATCTGCTAGCGTTGCCTTTAAACTCTGTGACTTGGGTCAAACGTTCTGGGTTTCCTTCCACAAGCTTCTCACAACAGTCTGATGAGTTCTGGCCCATTCCTCCTGACAGAACTGGTAGAACTGAGTCAGGTTTGTTGGTCTCCTTGCTCCACTGATGTTCTCCAGGATGGAGATCAGGGCTTTGTGATGGCCACTCCACAACACTGACTCTGTTGTCCTGAAGCCTCTCTGTAGCTAATCTGGCGCTATGCTGAGGGTCATTGTCCATCTGAAGACACATTAGTGTCCAAGCTGTAACTTCCTGCTGATGTCTGGAGATGTTGCTTCAATATCTCCACATCATGTTCTTTCCTCATGATTCCATCTATTGTGTGAAGGTCACCAGTCCCTCCACAACATGATGCTGCCACCCCCGTGCTTCACAGCTGGGATGGTGTTCTCAGGCTTCAAGCTTCCCCCTTTTTCCTCCAGATGTACCGATGGTCATTAAGGCCAAACCGTTCAGTTTTAGTTCTATCAGACCACAGGACATGTCTCCATTGATGAAGCTCTTTGTTCTTGTGTGCATTTGCAAACTGTAATCTGATTTCTTCATGTGATTTTGTTTTTTTTTAGGGGTGTGTGGAATGTCCCATATGTGTCCAATGTGTACCTGGTAAAAGCCAGCCTGCTTAGATCAGAGTTGAAAGACTACGAGCTGTTCACCTCATCCCTCCTAGACCCTGACATGGCCTACTGCCACAACGTTCGCAGCAAGGTGAGGAAGAGAAAAAACAGAAATATTCCACGTAGATTGGTGTACAATTCTGTATGCCGCAATATCTGACCTGTGACTTTTTTTTCCTTTCTTTCAGGGAATCTTCATGTATGCAACCAACATGCACACCTTCGGTCGCATCGTGTCGACAGACAACTACCAGACTGTTCACCTGCATAATGATCTGTGGCAGATTTTTGAAAACCCAGTGGTGAGAGGCTTTGAATGAAATTGTGAAAATGTCGATGAGACTTTGAAAACTGCCTAAACTCAGACATTCATGGAACCGCACAACGTAAATACTTTGGAATGAAAAATAGATGATGTGCATATCTATAAATATACAGCATACGATACCGACCACTTCAAAAACAATCTCCATTTGCTCCAAGCTCTCTGTTGTCATTTTTAACTAAACTCAGTTACTAGCTTTATGCTTACCGGCCCAAGAGCTTAATTTCAGCAACATCTGTGACTGCAGCAGCTGCAGCAGGAGGAGCCGAGTACAAGTGGAATGCTAAGAATGATAAAAGTGGGGATACAGTACTTTGTCTACCATTTTCCAGTTTGTTAGGACACACTGTAAACACGTTCTGCATCTGCACTGCCTAGTTTGTGTGTTGTGTGTATGTATTGAGCTGCACACACCCCAGGAGACAAACCACCATCTTTGGTTGTGTGGCAGCTAAAACAATCAGATGTTTTGATTTTTTTCCAGGACTGGAAGGAGCGCTACATTCATCAAAACTACTCCCACATCATGAAAGACAAGCTGATTGAAACTGTGAGTACCGGTAACCTCGAGTGACATTTAATCACTAGATGAGTTTATTGAAATAGAGTTACAAAGAGAACACATTTAAAGCTGGCTGAAACAGAGCTTTGAATGTACTTAAATATGTTCTGGATGTTTTTGCAGACTAAAAAGTCAGTTGTTCGAACTTCATGTAAGACGCTGAAACTTCACAAGTAGCGCAGTCGTATTGAAATACCGTCTGCGATGTTGCTCGGTGGTTTAAATGCTGTCGTGCTTTCTGTCCTCCAGCCTTGTCCCGACGTGTACTGGTTCCCGATCTTCTCTAACGTCGCTTGTAACCACATCGTTGAAGAAATGGAACACTTTGGGAAGTGGTCGGGAGGAGCCAACGTGGTACGTCACCATGTGGATGGATGGTATTGGTAGTTTGGGTGTTTGTTCTTTGTGGGATTCATTTCAACGCAGCGATTGTGAAGATTCTCAAATATTTCTCACCATCAGTGCTCATGATAAGAACACATGTGGACATCTGGAAACAAATGACAAAATCTGCTGGGTCAAAAACATACAAACAGCGATGCTAAAGTTTTGGTTGAATGTCCCAGTTTCACCTTCTTCGTTCAGTTTAAGTAATGACTTTAGGGAGGCAAACATCCATCCCTTAGCTATACACCGCTTAATCCTCACTAGGGTCGCGGGCCTTTTGACTGTGGGAGGAAGCCGGTGAGAACCCGCAGGTAGAACATCCACACCGAAAGACCCCAGGCGTCCTAACCGGGGTGTGAACCAGTGATCTTCTAGCTACTAGCCGATGGTGCTAACCACCATGCAGCCTGGAGGCGGACATATTTCTGGTTCTTGTGGCCAAATAGCTTTTTGTTTCATCTGACTACAAAACCTTCCCCCAAAAGGAGGTCCAGCAAATTTCATTCGAGCCTTAAGGTGCTGCTTCTGGAGGAAGAGCTTCCTTCTTGCACCAGCCCATGGTGATGGAAAACACACTTTACTGGACATTGACAGCTGTGTTCCAGCAGCTTCTAATTCATTGCAAACCTGCTTTTTGGTGATTGTTGGTTGACTCTTGACCATCCTGACCAACTGTCTCTCGTTTATACTTACAAACAATTGATTTGTAGCTGCTTTGAAGTGGCTCCGACTGAGTTTCCTGACTTGTTCTTGTCAATGATTTGCTTTTTCAAATCCGATTTTCAGCATTTGTAGCATTTGTGGCTGATTCTACGGCGCGTATTAAGTGGGTTTGACACAGTCGGTCGTAACGCAACCATCTACATCACCAGAACTGATCATTCAAGTTGCCGTATGTGTACTTTTGACCAAGCAGGTTTTGTCATATTTCCAGAAAACCTAGAAGAAATTTAAGAAAGAACCTAAAGCATGGTGGTTTTTTGTGACAAATCATGATAGAAAATTATTTTGAGTTATAGGAGTCATTGGAATCTCAAGACTGCCGTGACATACATGGTCTTTAGAAGTGTATGTAAACTTTTTGTAATTCGCTTGCACACCAAAGCCAAAGAGTGTTTTTCTCATTTGCCAGGACACCAGAATCCAAGGCGGCTACGAGAATGTGCCCACCATCGATATCCATATGAATCAAATCAACTTTGAAAAGGAATGGCAGAAGTTCTTACTGGAATATATAGCACCGATAACCGAGAAAATGTACCCGGGTTACTACACCAAAGTAAGTCTGCCGAACACACGCTTAAAGCCATCATTATCATCTGTGTTCGTTATTAATCCTCCTTTGTCTCCAGATTTGTTGCAGAGTGAACGTTGCTGACGTGATAGTTGGACTGCATTTTCCAGAGTATATGTCAGTGCAGTAGAGCAGCAATGTGCCTATATGCCGTTTTCATAGCTCTATCGATGTGTTTATAGACCGAATCAGTCCGATGGTTGCTCATGTGCTCAAATCGGCCTTTATTAAGTTGTTCTCCTCAGTGGTGTGCCAGTTGTTTTTGTGCCCCATGGAAATATTTTACTATAAATTCTCAAATAATAGCGACTCAATTAATGGCAGAGTGTCAGACGATAAGCCAGAAGTATTAATGGAATAGAAAAGAGTGGAATAAGGGTCCTTTTTCTTTAACAACTTTACATCCAACCACCGTTATTTGATGGTTGCGTACCTGCTGGCTGTTATACTCAGCACAAATTGAAACTCTACTCTCAGAAAAGGGAGGAAGTGTGGTGTGTGGGTCAGTGGAGAGTTTCTGATTTGAAACACTTGGTGCAGGATTTGTTTTTTTTTTAATGACAGTATCTCTAAAACGATCACAAGTAGTCTGAAAGGAAATGAGACTGATGTCAGGACACGACAGACTGAAAACAGGATCAACTGGAAACATGGGATAATTGTTGCATGAACTGCAAATTAAAAACAGCAGTAAAATAATTCTGATGATGCAGAATTACAGAACAAGGGAAATTATAAAGACAGATGAGCTTGTGTTTACTGCATCTCTCTGCTATTGAGAACAAGTTTTATTTGGGAATTTATGGTATTAAAAAAACAAGCAGTAAATACTCTGAAGAGAACAAACTTGTGTAAAATAATGTGAAGCAGACAGAAAACATTTTGTCAGAGAAATGATAAGATTTAAAATATGTAAACAATTACTGGTGCCTGGTTTTAAAAAAGTCTAAATTTGTTAACAAGGTCATAAAAGCTTGGTTTCATTCTGTGATTTAAAAGTCAAATGTTTCTCATAAAAGGAGAAACTGTTGTCTGGAGCAGATTAATGGGGATTTAGTATTTGTGTAGCGTTGGGTATTTGGACTGGACAGTTCATTTAGACAAAAAAAATTACTTATGACGCAACATGTCAGTCATTGTGACCGTGTGGTTCACAGATATGTTGTATTATTAATATATGTTGTGTTAGTTTGACTCTTCACTACATTTGTTTTACGTTTTCTAAAAAAGAAGACTATCAGCAGACTTGTTTCCAGTTTTTATGACCGAGCAGAGTTATTTATATGAAAACCTGGTGGTGTTGCAATGGAAAGAGTCTATAACGCTCAGGTGACAGTTTATTTATGACTATATTATTGTTACTATTTGCTAGCATCATTGCTGCCCTTACGTTTGACGTGTTACCGAGCAGCACATGAGAGGATGTGACTGATTGAAAATGACAGCAGCCGTCGGTTCTCGTGGGTTCCTGACCAACATGTCTTCTCTCATCAGTGTTCCACTCCCTTGAACTTTGTGGTGAGGTACAAACCGGACGAGCAGCCGCTGCTTGTCCCTCACCACGATGCCTCAACATTCACTATTAACATTGCTCTCAACAGCAAAGGCGTTGACTACCAGGTAAATGAAGGGGAGCTGGCAGGTAATGATGGAAGCTGTGGGACATGGCACTGCAGGTCATCTGCACCTCTCTCTGCTTCTCTTCTCCATCTCTGGAAGCGAATGCTGGACTGGGAACCGAGCTGATGCTTTTCTTTACTGAGCAGGAGCTGCGAGGGGCATACCTGTGTACAGCGGCCACGTGTGCAGTTTTTTTTTTTTTTGTCGCCAACGCTTGCATGACTCCTTTCTGTCTGTGTGTTTGCAGGCTCAGTTTGACTTGGCCTTTGTAGTTAGATATAGACCCGATGAGCAGCCCTCCTTAAGGCCGCACCACGACGCCTCCACATTCACTATAAACATTGCGCTCAATCAACTGGGCGATGATTACCAGGTGAGTGTTTAGAGGTTGGTAGAAGTGTGACATTTCAAACAGGTAGCTCGTGACAACTACATCCACTGAAATCCAGTAAATGTCATTCACCTTAAAAAAAAGTGGGCAAACCCCACTGCCCGTCCCACATCCTGCTCAGATTAGATGTCACGGTTTAGTTCATGGGGACGTCCGCCTTAAATTTACGTCGTGCTGTTCAGATGATTCATGAAATAGTAATACAATCCTGGTTTAATCGTAGCAACTGGACTTGCTTGAGTTCCTTGAAGATGTTTCATCCAAGAGGCTTCATCAGCTCTGACTGACTAGTTGGGAGTTCCACATACTTCTATCCTTAAGGAGCCATTAACACCTGAGTTGATGGGGGTTTGTTGCTCCTCCCCCTTGTTAATCACGTTGTTAGTACTCCCCCTGCCACAATGGGGTTCGTTAGGGTCTTTTGTGTGCTGAGGAAGATGAAACCACTTTGACACCTCGCCACAAAAGACCTTAACAGACCCCCTTGGGGCAGGAGAAAGCAAGTCCAGTCGCTACGATTAAACTACGAGAACAACCATGACCTGGATGACTGAGACTCTTCGAATACAATGTGAGCTCTTCCACTTATAATAATATGTGTATTTGAGTAAGAAACGATCGTGTTTAACACTTATGGATACACAGAAATGCACTAGTTGGAGTTTATTGACATGGTGCAGGGACAGGAAATAGTGTAGGTGGGGTAAACGCTCGTCTTCCTCACTGGATGTAGGCTGCAGGTGTCGCTTCTTGTTCCTCAGCGTGTTTTCAAAGTCCAAGACAACAACCGCAACCTTCAGGCTAGCAACCCACTGCACTAAAAGTCTCAAGTTTGTCAGAGGATTTGGGTGGTGCAGTGAGGACACCCTGCATTTTGAGGGGCAATTATTCTGCCTTAGACAGTAATGCATAGTGCAGCCAGGTGCTACAGAATGGGCTGGCTAAGCGAGACGAGGTAAATACTAGACTTCTGCTCAACTCCGTTCATGAGCAGAAGGACGTTTATCTTGAACCAAAGTATCAATAGAGGTAGTCTAGAAAAGTGATATGAAAGATGGCAGGACATTAGCGTGATAGATTTCATCGTACAAACCAGAGTCTTGACATGCATGATGCTGCATTAAGAGCGATTACATTAACAGGTGAAATGTCATCATGTTTCTGGCATGTCCATCTGCATTCTGGTTGTGCCAGACTTTCTTTTTTTGTTTTTGTTTTGTGTCGTTTCTGGGTTTGCGAGCACGTCTTCTTTGCATGACACATGAGGCTGAAGCTAGGAGCCTTGTTTTTTACCATCGCATCCATGTTGTTTCTCCGCATCTTCAATAAACTGGATTAATCGGCTTACAGTCCGCAGCGTTGTTGGTTTATGTGCCATGGATTTGAAGCTGTTGTGATGATTTATTAGACGTATAAATATCGACCGTATTGTTTTTTCTGTGGATAAAACGTAATATTTACATTTTTGAAATACAGGATACAGGATGATACAAGGATGATTGTTTAAATGACAACACCGGTGCTCTTGCTTGACTAGAAAACACAAAAACCCTCAATTCTCAAATAAAATAAAAGCTGACATTTTCTATCATTAATAACTAATAGCAGATTAAAAACAACCAATTAGGTGCGACAATAGAGTCATACTCTGCTGGAAACACGTTACCTTTTTAAATGAAACACTCATTATTTATACATAAATGTATTTCTGCAGATTGTTTATTTATACAGGAAGGAATGTTTAAAGAATTTTAATGCACAACAATTGCAAGTGTTTCCACTTAAACAGTGACCAAAAAAAGGAGAAAAGCTGTTCAGTATACTGAAATATTGTGGAGAAAATGATATTGAATTTATCAAGACAACAGAGGAAATGTTGTATTTACATTAATCACCTACACAAGGATATAGAAGAAATGTGAAACACAAGCCCATTTTAAATAAAGACATATAATAAAGTTATCCTCTTAGTGATAAAAGCATGACATTGCCGCGTCACCCAACTGCATCAAATCCTTACCAATTGACTCTGGTAGTAATGAACTGAAACCAAAAGCTGCCTGCAGGGTAGTTAAGAACTCTAAAGGTTTGCTTTGGAAGTTGGTTAGTTTGGTGACTCGTCATCGACTTTAATCACGGCAGATGTTTTGCCTTGTTAAAGCAAAGAAAGCACAGGTGTAACATTAAGTTTTATTATTTTCACCTGTGCTTTTCCTGTTGTGACAAATCCTGAATGTCTGCTCTGGTGTTGTCTAAATCATTGCATATGTTATATTGAAGTACCACAGCAACAATCCAAAACGCCTCACATCAGGAAGTCTCAGCCATTAGTACGTTTCTACCAAAAGACATGTGGAAAGACTGTTTTGACCAACAAAAAAACACCTCTTTGATGGCTGCAATGAATCGATAAATGGTTGAAACTACAAGCTTCTGCCACTTCAGCAGGTCGTACTAACGAAAACTGAACTAAACACTCAGAACAACAGAGAAAGATCTTATGCAGATGCTTTCAACGATATCTACTTTTGCATCGATGTAAAATAAATTAGTTTCACGCGCTATGACACATATTTCATGGGATATCATGCCACCGTGTTGCCGGGCTGAAGACACCTCTGTTCACTGATCTGTGTGGACAAATGTGAGGTCCTGTCTGAACGTATACATACAGTCATCACAGTGATCCCTTAGTTCTTACACTCTTCATCTCACTCAGACCTCCTTTGCCAAGACGGGCTACTGGCTGCAGCTCTGTTCTCTGTAAGCTACTGCCAGCTTGAAGTAGGCTTAAGACCCACTGTTGGTGAGTGTGGCCACCCTAAAGGACACTAGTTTGAGTTCAGTTCTGTTCAGTGGTTCTCCTTTTCAACTTTGGGAAGTCACATCCTTGGAAAAAGTCCAACAGTGAAGAGTTTTCAGATGAAGTCCCTGTTGGTAGGTGGCCACGTGGTGTAGGTCAACAGGTTAGCGGGTCTTGTGCCAGAGTCCTCCAAGTCTGGACTAGCAGCTCCTCGTGAACAGTTTTATCTAATTACAAGCAGGAGGGTTTATTGTCAGACCAATGTGCTGCTGGCTGGCCGGTATGACGCGTCCTTCTTCTCTTTGTGCTGCCGTGCAGCTGAGAAACTGGAGGTCAAGTGGCCCATGTCCTGGTTCAGAAACCATCACAATTAACGTTCCCCCTAAGCAAAAGACAGTAAAGAACAGCTTCCCCAGTATTTGTCTTGGAATTAACCTTAACGTGGAAAACGTTCTGAAGCTCTGTCTGGACATTGACACGGTGCAAACTTCACCCCACCTGGAGCTGCAAGCATTTTGTTTAGCTTGGCAGCACTTCTTCTGGGTTCTGACATGTTGTTTTGGTTCCCTAAAGAAGACGACACAAGACCTTGTTGCCCCATTGAGCGGATGGTATATATCAGTGTCTGTAGGGTAGGGATCTCCAACTCCGAGATGTTTTTGTACTGCGACGCACTTGACTCAAATTAATGGATCTCCAACAGCTTGTTGTCAAGTTCGACACAAGTCTATTAAGGATCCCTTAATGTGAGTCGGGTGTGTTGCAGTACAGAAACATCTAAAACCTGCAGGACAGTAGCTGACGAGGACCGGAGTTGGAATTCTCTGATGTAGGGTCTCACATGTCATCACAGATTATTTGTGCTAAAGACGTGAATAGAGGTGTCTATAGTAAGGCCAAACGAGGCCTTCCTATCCCATGTAATATGTACCTCGTTGCTCTCCGTCAGGAAACAGCAGTTGTAGACCTTTTGTTTTGCCCTGTGGTTGGGGATCTGCTTCTGACAGATTTGTTTTGTATAATTTTTACAATAGAGATTTTTTTAAGAGTGCTCATACAAACTCCTGAAGAAATCCCTGAGATCAGAAGATGAAGTAAAATAAGATGCAAGTGGAGGAATTCTTGGTAGAAGAACCAAGTTTAGGTGCAAGTTAAAAACAGAAGGCGCTAGTACATAAAAAAGTAGACATAGAGTATATCAATAAAGATAAAACAGTATTTAAAAAAATAAGCCTGCAGAAGAAAGGAAATTAGATCATCTGTACAAGGTTGGGACTTTACAGGTTCTGCAAAGGTTCTGTCCAACAAAGATGCAATCTGCCAACATACAGGACGGATAGACTTTTGTCTTCACCGCCATCGGCCCTTTAAATAACTTAACGTGACTGTCTATATTAATTTATTTTCTGTTAACTGCTGGTTGTACAACTTCCTCCCCAGAGATAATTAATATATCTTTAAGCCTTAATCCTTGAGGTGCATAGATCTGAATCTGTATTAAAACTGAATGAGTTCTTCCTTTGGCCTTGTTTCACCTCCACGCCCAATCTTACAGACAGACGCAGGCAGTGAAAACACAAAAAAAAGGACTTTACAATAAGACATAGTTGAATACTCTGGAAACAGTTAGTGGTTAGATCCCTCTTTAAACTGTCTTTTGTTCACTGGTCGTTCTGCCTCATACAGATACAGTAGAAAATGTGATTACTACCGTAGATACCAAATGTAGTCGTAGGAGCTCAGAGCTTTCTAGGGTGAATGTTACCTAACCATGACTTAAATTCAAAACAAAACGTGCTTTTTGTGGTGTCAGCCGTTAACACGTGTTGTTTTGTGAATGCAGGGCGGCGGATGCAAGTTCCTGCGCTACGACTGCTCCGTTCAGGCTCCTCGTAAAGGCTGGGCCCTCATGCACCCGGGCCGCCTCACCCACTACCACGAAGGCCTGCCGACCACCGCCGGCACCCGCTACATCGCAGTGTCCTTCGTGGATCCCTGAGCCCCTTGATACGGCACAACTCACGCACAAGCCCAGACCAAACAGGACATACACTGACTACATCTTTTAGCATCACAGCTGTTTTTGTTTTTTTAAATGTTTATTTTTTTTTTAGTTTTCAGATTCAGAGTGAGGACAGTTTCTCTTTCTATTAGCTGATTTCCTTCAAAAATGATGTACAAAATGATATTGCTTCTGTCTCTGTGACATTCATCAGCAGCGCTCCGTAAAACGAGGCGGTACAGTGGAACAAGAATATATAATAACCACCGCTTTAGTGGCATCAAACTGCATCAAAAGTAACACGTCGTTCAAACCTTCACACGTGACACAAGTATTTGTCACCAGCAGTCTACAGTTTTCATCCATCAACCTATGTCGGGGGGAGTCTGCTTTATATTTGAAAAAGAAAAAGTCTTTGGTGTCTCCAGAAGAAGTTGTGTGGAGTGGAAGGAAGGATGGAAGCTTTCTGCAGGCTCCGGGTTGCATGAGCTGTTGATAGCATAGCATGCTAATGGATGTGTTCTAGTAAAAGGATGATGCATCATTTTTTTGGCCTTTGTTTGATAGTGAAGTTAGAGAGAGACAGGAAAGTGGGAGAGAAGAATGGGGGGAGGACATGTGGGAAAGGGCCATGAGCGGGATTCGAACTCATGACCTCCACATCAGGACTGTAGCCCTGTACATGGGACACCAGCTCAACCAGGTGAGCTGTAGCGGCGCCCCCAATGATGCATCATTTTTTACAAAACCTTTCCATCATGACTCTGGCGGTGTGAAAGAAGGGCAAAACATCAGCTCAGCACTTTCTTTACACATGAAAGTATGTGATACCAACAGACATTAGCATGCAACAGTTACATAGCAATGAGCTGTGTCTACCATTCTGGGGGTCGTAAGCTTGCACATGCTGACATCATATTGAGGAAAATGGACGTGTTACTTTAGTCACAGTTCTAAACCAACTTCTCGAACAACATTGCCTCAGTAGTTTGCCATACAGTTCCATTATGGGAAGTGTGGGACCCAGTGAGTTATCCTCAAATCAGGTTAAATATCTCAAGTTGCTCCGGTTGCAACCAAAGTATCGCTGACTGTTCGGGCTTCCTTGATTACGAGGCTAACTGTGTGTCAACAGGCTAATTTAATTAAAAAGGTCTGCACTATGAATGGGCACGGAACTGCTGTCACCCCATGTTAAGGCCTGGTCTTGAAGTCAGAGGCCTCACTGTTGATGTTTTGTTTTAGTTTTGGTGCTTGTGTTGCGTATGACTTAGGTACTGTATTGAATTGAATTGGCAGATCTAGCCTGGGGTCAAGACAGAATTCCAGCAAACTCACAATGTTGTCGTCATCATTTGTCAAAGTCACTTTGGTGCTGGAGAAACTTAAAGGTCCTCTCTGGGCTGGAGTGCATGGTGTGAATCAGAAATCAGGTCCTAAAGCGGACTTTCTGTCAGGACATCACCCGCAGTTCGGCTTTGATTTGTATGATTTGTTCGTGAAAACCTTGAACCTTGCAGTTGAATTTTACTTCAGTATGTAAACATTAACTGGACCTTTTTCTGTATCCAAAGCAGTTCCTTTTTTTAAAAAGAAAATCTTGAACTGAGACACTCCAAAGCCACTCTCTTATTTATATTTTGTATGTTTTATTTGATAAAAGCCATGCTTCCTGAATTGTTTTCATTTGCAATATAACTGTAAGATTTCATGTTGGAATCAGAGCTCACTTTTTTTTTTGTACTACATTCACTGATGTTGGACTTTTTATAAGTGTAACATATTCACACAGTAGTTATTTCTAACTGTTTAGTGCTTTGAACACAACTCCAGTAAACCAGTGAACCCAGCTGAGGTGTGTCTGAACTCATTGAAGCACCGTCTCTGCCATCACAGAAGCATCACACAAAAACCGATGAACTCAATCAGGGACATCAGAAAATGAATGGATGGATAAATATCCACCCCCTTTAAGCCAGTATTTATTAGATGCACCTTTGGCTGCAATTACAGCATTGAGCCTGTGTGGATAGGTCTCAATCAGCCCTACACATTTTCAGTTTTGCCCCATTCTTCTTTGCAGAACTGTCAGATTACATGGGGATCATGGGTAAACGGCCCTCTCAGCTGGATTGAGGTGGGCTTTGACTTGGTTGACTGAAAATATTCATCTGCATCAACCCATGCATTGCCATCAACATTTATAAGCCTTCCAGGACCTGCTGCCAAGAAGCGTCCCGCATCATGATGCTGCCTCCGCCATGCTATGCTATGTTTCAAACATAGTGACTAGTTGCAGGGACGGATCTACCGGGAAGATGCCTTGCCACCCCGGCTGCCACCCCAGTTCTGAACGATGTAATTCAAAAATATGTGGCCGGTCGGAAAGAACGAAAGTCCGCATATGACGAATAACGAGCGAAAGTCCGATGTCCGAGTGCTTGTGAATGCACCATGAGGACGTTCTACTACAGACACATACGAGGCGACCCGACTTCCGGTGAGGCTGCTCATAGTGCGCCTCCCTTATGTGGACCAGAGTCGGACTTCGGCGGCCAGCAAGACATGAAAGTAAGACAGCAGTTAAACTGGGTTAGACCACACGGTAGTAAATCTGTAAGCTATGTAGTAGACGCTAACAGTGTCTAAGTTCACATACAGGGTTTGCTTGTGAGACGAGCCGCGGTTCCAGTGAGCCCGGGTCTTTCTAACGGTCACGTGTGTAGCTAGCTAGCATTAAAGAAGGATGGGGTAGGATGGGGGTTACAGGACATTAAAGTGTAACTAAACCTCCAGTCACACCAGGTTTTCATGCAAACTACCTTGTGTTTGCTTAATGCTGGGTTTGGTTTATGTTTAAAAAAAAAAAAAAATTAGTGTCAACGTCACAGTAACACCAGCATTGATGTGTTTCATCATAGTTCAGTCATATAGTTTGGTTTATGGCAAAAAAACAAACATGTTTAAGTGTTAAGCACCTCTTTAGGTTTTAAATTGTACACTTAAGCTTGTATCATAGTAATGAAGACTGTCAAAGGAAACACAGTAAAGTCAGTGTGAATCTTCTAGGAGACAACAAAGAATGAAGAGGAAGGGTNGGGTCAAACTGTCCCGCGGTCCGAGGAAGAGTAGATGTCGGCACACGCAGGGCAGTACAGGAGCGCGCAGCCTCCGCATATGTATTTCTCGCAGCCACGGCAGACGTTGTGCGTTTTGCTGTCCTTCTTGGAGGGACAGACCTGACACCTCTTCCTCTTTCTGGCGGGGATGGGTTTCACAGGGCCCGTGGAAGTGGGAGGCTCAAGCGGGGGGTCGACGACGGGATCCGTGCTCGGACGGGAACAAGAAGTAGAAAAAGAAGAAGAAGAAGCAGAAGAAGAAGCGACCCCCCCGGCAGTGGTGGCCAGCCGGACGCTTTTCACGACCGCCACGGCCGACTCGGTGCGCGCCAGGTGAGCCCTCCGTTCGATGAGCGGAGCGACGAGCGCCTTGCCCAGCTGCTCGAGAAACACCCTCCTCTTGTTGCGCCTGCGGAGCATCCAGTCAGGATTGAGCTCTCGCCATATCACGAAAGCGTTGTAGGAAGACACGTCGAGAACGTTGTGGAAGACGGCGAGGGGCCAGCGCCCGGTCATCCTCCTGCAGCTGTAGACCAGGACTTTGTCCAGGTTGTCCACCCCGCCTTTGTTGGAGTTGTAGTCCAGGATGGCGGCGGGCTTCTTGTCCGCGCGCCGGCGGGCGACGTCCGCGGCCCGCGCGTGGAGCGTGCTGAGCAGCACCACGTTCTTGTTTCTCTTGGACAGGTAGGACACCAGCGCGGTGTCGGCCGTGAAGGTGAACTTGGAGGAGAGGACCCGTCTCCCTCGGAGCGCGAGCAGGGCGTTAGGGGAGCTCGGGTTTGTTCTTCCTGATCGTGCCGAGCAGGGTGTTGTTCCTCTCACGGAGGAGCCGCTGCGCGAGTCCGTAGGAAGTGAAAAAATTGTCGCAGGCGATGTTGCGGCCCGTCAGGCCCTCCGTCACCTCGAGCACCACGCGCGCCGCCTGATTCCTCTCCCTTTCCCGGACTTCCCCGTGTAAACCTGCATTTTCCAAGCGTAGCTGGATCTGGCGTCGCAAGCCACCCACGACTTGATCCCGTACTTGGCAGGCTTGCTCGGCATATACTGTTGAAAGGGACAACAGCCTTGGGAGGGAGGGAGAGAGGTACATTACAGAACCTGTCTATTTTATCGCTCCGACGCAGAAAAATAAATCTGAAATAAAACCATTTCTCTTCAAAAATATATCTAGCGCGTGTGCGAAATACAGATTTAGTCAGTGACTATGTTCTCAGAGGGGAAGTTAAGCCGGAAGGTTCTGGAATGTTCTGGAATGTGTGTGCGTGTGTTTCATCCCATCATTACCAAAAGAAAAGGCCAAGACAAAAAGAAATAAAATCTTTTTATTGATTTTATTGTTTGTGTCACCTTTGAACAGAACCAATTGCTCGTCCACCGTGCCGTGAGGACCAGGGTTGTAGAGGGCCCGCAACCGCTCGACCCACACGTCCCAGACCTTTCTCACGGCCGCCAGTTTGTTCGAGGCGCTCTCTCCTCTCTCGTTTCGCGGTCGTCGAACCTCACCAGCTTCGAGGAAACATGAAAGAGTTTGAGCGACATCGTAGCACGGAAAATCGCCCGTCTGCTCTCCTCGCCTCGGGACCTGTACACGCCGGCTGGGATGAGCAGCCCCACGAAGGCGTGCAGGTCGATCTCGTCCATCCGCCTCCAGCCGTCTCTTTCCGTATTTCCTAACACCCTTGCGATTCGTCTCCTCCAGGATAATTTTGTCTATTTCCAGGGTGAGGAAGAGGTAGAACGTCGAGACAATGTCTCGGGCGTTGGAAACCGTGTAGGTTGTGGTCCCGGTGGCCAGGGCTGCTGTTGCTGCTGCTGCCGCCACTGCTGCAGCAAGGGTGTCGTTTCGTACGGTGTAGACGACCAAGTTATTTCCCTGTTTTTTGACAAGAACGTCTCTTGTGCAACAAGAGGGATTTCTTCTTCTTCTTGGAGTGAGAGGAGTGAGAGTGGAAGAAGAGCGCGGAGAGATTGGGAGACATTTGTTCTTTCTTTTTCTTATCTATTCTTTGTCTATTCTAGACTTTGTTTATTGTTGTATGTGTTAGTTTGTTAGGTTTGTTTCATTAGTTTAGTGTTTGTTTTGCGTGTTTTTGCGGCCAGACGCCGTCTGGTTGGGAGGAGGAGGAGGCAGTTGAAGCCATCATGGCGGCCTCAGATTTTACCTCCCTGTCTCGGGAACATGCCATCAAGCTGGCGGCCGGTTCCCCGTGCAGCGTCGAGGACGTGGCCCTAGCCGTGGGCGAGCGGATCGGCCACGGCTCGGTCAAGTCCGCTGCGCGGGTGAACCGGTCAGTAGTTTTGTTCTTAGAGAAGGTAGAGCAGGTGAAGCTGCTGGTGGAGA